ATAGCTCTAGCCTCGTATCAAAATCGAGTAGTGTACACGCCACTCGTGGTTGCTGGAACTACGGTTAAATAATACGTTCCACCGCAGAATACAAACCTGCCACCAAGTGTCAAGACTGTAGCGATCCATACCGTTCAGATATACAAGACTGCTTGGCTCAACCTACCCGATCTGGCCTGATAACTAAGGAGAATTCGCTGCAGTAGCCCAATCTAAAGCTGCTGGAAGGAAGGCCGATGCCAGTTGACTATCTGCCTCGAAAGATACGATAATGTCGGGTGGATTAGGCTTTGAGGCCTCGAGCCCAGAGCATCAAGATTGAGGCTCGAGAAAGTCAGTAATAATTTCATTTTTTTTTCAAGAGGGACAGTGACGGCTAGTAGGCCGATATATTGCCTGTAGCCTGTGCTATTCAGCAGAGGTATATTTATTAGGTCAGCGCTAAGTTACGCTCGTATTGAAAGTCTGGAACTGTCCTTGCACAAAACATTGCTGATAACTAGCCCACACCTGAATAATGAGAGCCCGACTGGAGGATAGCTACTAGCGATAAAAATTTCAGAATCATGTATATCAATAGGGCATTGGATGTAACTGTAGTTTTATTCCACAGTTAAAAATAAATTACCTTTTAACATACAAACGCCCAAGCTTTCTATATCGAAACTGTTACAGGGACCGACAATTATGGAGGAAACCCGTCTCTTCATCTCCAACTCTCAGCGGAGATTGAGAGAGGTTGTAATTTGGGAGATGTGACGGAAGATCCAGGACGTAGCTGATGAATCGGTAGACTTCCATTTCCTTTGGTCTTCTAGTTGTAATCTGCTGCAACTTGATAGCGATCCACTTGGTGCGAACGTGTTGGGCGTGTCATGGACACGTTCTTACCTGTGAACCCCGGTCTTTTTCATTTGGGGGATAACGGGTATATTCTAGGAACTATAAAATTATTACATAGACAATTACTAATGCCTCTTCCCACCTAAATGACCGTTTGTGTGTGTGTGTGTTTTATTGTACTACTTGAGTCTATGACTATCTAGCACATTGGGCTCCTCTCTGACCCAGGCCACACCTTGTACAGTGCTCCTATCCTCTTTTGTTACCTGAAAGATCATTGATATATTCCCCTTGGTGAATAGCCATTCAGCTCAGTATTTACCCGTGGAATTCAGCCACCTTTTCCACGGAACCTTCTACCCAAAAAAATAAAAATGGTAGCAATGGAAACTGCGTGCGCGGGAAAAAGTCTCAAAAAACCTGCAGCCCCAGCCAGGCGAGGCCTAGACACTGGAGCCACATGAGGTGCGCATATTCATCGATATTTCCCTTCTTTGTAACAGTCGAAGTCGACTTGATCCAATCCACCATCTCCGTATCGGGTGCTGGGTACGCTCCGGAAACTCATCGGATGGCTTTTCCTCCATGATCAAGGGTGGGTGACGAGTAGGGCTCCGACCCTACCATCTGATCTGATCGTGGTTAGCTTCATGATAGTGGTGATAGGGGAATGTGTTGAGAGATGAAGACGATACAGACCGCGAAAGCGATTGGGAATCCTCGTCGAAGTGAGGACTTTGTTACTCAATCTCGGCTCTGCAGACTCAATAGTGAGAGCTGGAGGTTCGTAGGGGACACCACTGACAGGTGTTGAGAATAGTCCCCCTAAATGACCGTAACCATGCTAATCCCCATCTATATGTCTAATCATAACGGAACCAGCAGCCCAGAATAAAATCAAAGAAAACCTTCCACGCGGGAACCCGCACAATAAGAGAAAAAAATTTAAATCAATTTCCCTTATAATATTCTATCTCAGCCACCACACGCCTGGTACGAGACAAAAATATCAACCAAAGCATAGAAGTTATAGAATATGTGAGACATGATTTGGAAGTAAAAAGTGAGGACAGGGGCGGTGGTGACAAGATCAAGACAGAGCAAGACCCTCAAAATCTGTAGGAGTAAATTGACCTTAGAAAATTGATATACCATCAAGTAATAAAAAAACAATTTGTAGCTTTTAGCAGTCTTTGATAGTCTTTGACCCAGTAGAGACTTTAATTAAAGTCTTATCTAATAATGCGCCTAAGCCTCGTCTCGGTTTTATCTCAATTTAATAGCCATTCTCAAAGGCTTTTCTCTCTCAAAATGCCTGGAATTGTCACTCCTCCATTGCTCCGATTTTTCACCGGGTATATTTCACTGTCCTGGACGTACTCTTTGAGAAGTTGCCAGCTCTCGGACCCAAGCAGAGTTTCCAATGCCGGCGCCCTCCGCTTTCCGCTTTTCAGTACCCATACAGACAGTGTGTTTCTGCATTGGTCGAGGTGGGTGATTAAATGTTATATGCCCCATTCGCAGTGAAGTACAGCTATGGTGTGATTGATGCGGCGATGATATGCTGAGAAGTGCCCGTATCCTATTCGAGCTGCTATCAGGCGAGCATATAAATCTCTAGACAGAGCAAGCCCCGGTAATTTCTTGCGCCGCATCTTGAGTTCAAGTTCCGTATATCAGTGTGGCCGGTGTGAGTCCCACCACTACTTCAGTAGCTGCCTTGACAGCTCGCGGTATTTGCGCACTATTGCCGCAAGCCTGAGAAGATCTGTTAGAGTCGTTGAATTTTCGGGAGAGGTACGATCTCTACGAGCGATCTCGTCGGCCATTTCGTTCCCTGCCAGTACTATATGGCCTGGAATCCATCCTACCATAATTGGCGCAAATTCTTTGGCCGCCATTGTCCGAAAATTCTGCACTCGTCAAGAGGATGAGACTGTTTTTCTCGTAATCAGCAGTTCAACATCCACGGAGTTGTCCAGAAGAAAGTGTATGGCTCGAGCTTTTATGTTACTGTTGCTCGCTCTGACCGCTCAGAGGGCAGCCATAGCCCCGTCCTAGCATATCTTCATAATCCGTGCAGACGAGCACTATGAAAAATAAGCTTCAGCCTTGCTAGATTCGAACCAGCCATCTCTTGTCTCAAGTGAAATAGGTGTCCAAGATGTCTGCAATCTAGTTGGGAGATTGATTCTGGTGATGTACCACTGCACAATTCAACCATCGATTTGTCCACAGTGCCCTCTATACCCTCGAAACGATGCATGTGGATGTAAAAGGTATTTGGCAAAAATCTTAACTTCCCCAATTTCAGGATTGTATTTGTTTTAGTATCGTTTTGTCAATCTACCTTCCTGCTTTTTAAGTCTTCCCTAACGATATAACTTGCTGCTCTTGTGCGCCGCGCTTGGGTCCTCTTACGGATATTCAAACTGAACTAACTATATATTTGGAGGCCAAAGACTAGATAGACAAAGTTGTAGTCATTTAAATGAAGTTGTGATAGGTTGTACTTGTGGAGTCGATGAGGCTTTGTTTGTAATCCATCTTGTTGGTGGTGAAAGATTGATGTGGTTGGGAGTCTCCAATCATTACCTTGTGGATCAAATTATTCAACATTACTGTTTTTTACTCTGCTCAGCTCTCTTAGAATTTTTGAATCCCAGATTTGTAGAACATGCTGTTGATAGCTATTCTGCCTTTGAACTTCTGCAGTTTGTTGTGTTCTGTAGGCCGCACAGCACAATATAACGTTCTTGAGCAGGAAGAACTCATCTGCTCAACGCTGTCCTACATAGTTTGGTAGATAAATATGGTATCTAGGTAAAGATGATTCAAAATGGAGTAACGTAGCATGGTTCAGTCCTTTCGATGACTATAAAATTTTATTCGAAGCTTGTCAATTTTAGAGCGTTGCCTATGGGATGATTCTGGCAACGAATAATTCACCCTGATCCGGGAAGAAATCATCCAGTTTAATGTGTGTCATTATTATCGCAATGAAACGATTTGTAATGGGATTCAGATTTCCAAAAAATTCAACGAGAGAATTACGCAACTGCTGGATTTCAGATTTGTTCAAAATGTTAGGCTCACCATCATTTTCAGCATTGAAGGGTTTCACTAGATGGTTTCGCTGATAGTTACTGATTATTCCAGATACAGATGATTTTTACGAATGATGTTTAGCCTATCTTGTGTTTGCATGGTATAGCTCCTCCGTCAGAGGTGTAAAGTGCAGCAATTATGACAGCGGTCTGTGTGCTGCAGGCGATTTTCCATCAATCCCATTAATGTAACCAATCAATACCAATTCAAAAGAGCATTCCTACGGTTCAAAATTGGGGTCCGAGAATATCTTGTTCATGCCTACATCTAGCAGAGGGACATGGTCGAACAATCTCAACTCCTCACGCTCAATGAAACAGTACTCGGTATGTTCCGAGTCAAGAACGATTGATTTTACTCCCTTTGTCAGTCTCCAGGCAAATGAATGTATTTCCCATTCTAAACCCAAGTCGACGTCTCTAATATTGAACGGAGCAATTTTGAGCAACAATTGGATGTCATTGTCGGAAAGCCTGGTTTCTTCAAGAATCTCTCTCCGCGCTGCTGCTTCTGGGGTCTCATCGGCCGGTTCTATTGAACCTGAACACACTGCCCATTTTCCCCTGATCTGATCAGTAGAGCTAGTAAGTTCATTTTATGGCGGAAGACCTAACCGATAATTCAAAACATCTTGGCTTCGTTTGAAAATAGCAAACTTGATTTCACCATTAGGGCCCAGAGGACTACAGATAAACGACGAGACGATTGCGCGAGGCCGCTGAGGCGTAATTTTGGTCTGTAGATATCGCGACCCAAGCCGTTGTAGCGACTGTGAAAAAGCCCTGTGCATCATCTGCTTGCTGTATATATTAACTAGGTGGCCATCAGAAGGGGAAACTGACATGTTCAACTTGTAAATACCGAACCAGGGATAAGATTGAGTTTCAACGGCGACACTCGGACTCCTCCCGATGTGTAGACTGAGACGTCTCGGGAATTTCAATGGTCTTCAGCCTTAATCCATATCCCTTCCTTAAGTTTATTCAGAGGGTCTCAACCCAACTGATCACTGTCGCTATTCATTCCTTCATTTCTTAATTTCACCTCAAATGGAGCCCAGCATCCAACAGCAGCTGTATACTTGTAGCAGCTGCTGCGAGGTCATTCCAAAGCTGCGCGCGCGCATTGCATGCGACGATTGCCTCAACTTCAACCTCTGCACTAATTGCCACATAATCGAATATTTCACTACACCTCATCTAAAATCTCACTCGACCATAGTATTTCGGGAATCAGGATATATTACGGCCAGTAACCCTCACTTCGGTTTACTGCCAATCTCGGATACAGATGAGCGAGCACGGAAGGTTTCGGAGATCCCCACAGCCAATTGGGGTGCGCTGTGGAGCGTTATGAAAGCTCCCCTCGTAAAAAAAACGCCCAAATCATCTGACACCACATCCGATAACCTTTCGAAGCCTGACGCCGGATCCCCACTATCTCAAAGTTCTACGTCTCCATCCTCTTCTCCGTTAACTTCTCGCAAAGAATGTAGCTCCATAGATTGTTCAAAACCAATGTATATTCGTCCGGATAAATGGGAGCCGTTCTTTGAAGCTAATTCTACCACACCTCGGCCGATATTTGTGGCTCTGATGAGCACAATCTTCAATCTTCTGGATGATAGAGAGACAGGTTATCTCAAGCCAGAAGTATATTCAAACTTTTTGGAAATGCAAGGATACCCGCTACCTGCTAATAAATGTACATGCCCCCCATTCGTCACTACTGTATATTGACAGGCCCAGGGAAAATGGCAAGAGAAAAGGCCGCTGGAGTCTCAAGTAAAGACGTTGCCGATCTAGAGCTCGAACTTTTCTTCTCCCAACGCAATATCAGTCACATCTTAGCCGCACGACCAGCCGAATTAGAACAAAATGGAAGAAAAATACAAGATAAACCGCTCGAAGTGGCACCCAGAGCAAGAACTTCGACCGATGTTAGTTTGAACATGCCATTGCTTTTGCGACAAGGATTTATCGATATCTGCGCTCACGATTACCTCCAAGACCCAATGATTGCCCATCAGTATTTGATGAATGTAGTTCAGGAGCTTGGAGTCTGGAAAGAATTAGGAGATCTTCCTCGTTCCGTCTTCCCCTCCTTAGAAATACCCTCATTCCAAATAACCCGCGAGGCTGAGAAAACAGAAGGCATGGCGAGAGAACCCCCGAAATTATTCATTCCGGCCCCCAAAACTCTTGATATGACTAATAATAGTGCGCCCCTATCTTTTATTGGTAGGCCCCGGCCGGTCAGTCTGATGAACTTTGGACCATCCAAATCTCGTATGGACGCACGAAAACGACTAATACTGCAGACTAATCTTCCTGACGATTCGCTTTCTTTCGACAGCCCCATGTCAGCTAGAAGCCCTTATCGGCGAAAGGTAGAAACACTCATCGAGGCATACGAACGAGTAAGGAGTGACACTGCAGTTTCATCTCCAGTGAACGTCATGAAACCGTTTCCGTCCCCAAGGGCCACCACATTTCTCAAAGACCCGCTCTCTCCCATACGAGTATCAGTCTAGCAATTCTTTTCAAGATGTTAGGTGAGGCGCATAAGGATTAGGATACCCCTTAGCGCCGATTGTTCATCCATTACCTTTTTTGTTGGCGTGTAGGAAAATTTTATACTGGTTAGCGATGTATTTTGATATCACGATTCGATTTTATTGGCGTGCTACCACGGTTCATTTTAGCGATGATTTCAGTCTGAACGTGACACCTACAAGCTTAGAAGTTTTATGACCGAGAATATTTGATGATGGCAATAACTAGTTGCAGTCAATATATTTAGAGATAGGCGAATATCAATTTGTACCCGAGAAGGTCCAAGGATAAAATAGTTACTATACGAGCTACAATTCCTATCTCAAATAAGACAAGCCGCATGAATGTGATACTCTTAACGTGATTATGTAGCGCCTTATGTAGAGGGTACGAGGGCGCAGCGACTCTCGCTGACGTCTAGAACCCTTCTGCAATAAAAAAAAGAGAGCTGGCTGATATCGGGGATTATCAACGAACTCATTTCTTTTCTCGCAGAGGTAATCAATAAATGTTACTTGAAAGGCGTGACGGGATAAGATACGAGCGAAAATCGCGGATTCTGAACCAACAAGGAAATTCTTCCGATTCTTACTTGAGTTTCTGATTACTATTTGGTGGTTAATTTCACCTATTTTTGTTGAAGTTCATGCGGTTTGGATGAATTTGGCCTGTAAGCAGTGATCCCCGTGGACTCCACCGACCCTGTACCCATATCGGGCTTACAGTGAGTGAGCGTATGTTTGAATTTGATTTCATTTAGCCCGATTTGGCGCCTTAAGGCTCATGCAGGTGTCTACGAACTCTAATATTTATTTAGGAGGAAACCTTTATTGTAAAAGCCCCCTCAACCTTTTCAATTTATTTACACTTTAACGTTGTGTTACCTTTAGGAAGTGCACTAATACTGTCATGTCCAGTGCGGATACCGTCCACTCCCTTACTTATGGCAGGAGATCACCTTTCCCCTACTGCCCTCTCTGTCACTCATCATGGCTTCGACTTCAAGCGTCAGTCGAAACTGCTCTAGCCTTCCTTCCTTTTGTATCCACTTTGTAATTCTTGCAACATCTTTCGGGTTATTAATCATCGCTTCGAATGTCCGATTCTCTGCCTTTCTCAGTATCTCCCCTCTCCCTAAAGCCCAGTCGGGACAGGCCATGATCATATGCTTGACGTTCTGGGACGGATATCCACATTGGCATCGTGGGCTGTCTACTCCGGGAACATGTCTTCTGTGCAGGTAAGAATTGAACCAAATGTGCTCACTCCTTAACTGCATGGCTATGCTACTTTGGGCCCTGTTAAGGCTGAGCGTATGTTTATTGTGATACTTGAGTCATGGAGTATCTAACACATTAGGCTCCTCTTTGGCCCAGGCCACACCTTGCATAGTGCTCCTATCCCCTTTTATTACTTGAAAGATCATTGATATATTACCCATCACAAATAGCCGTTCAGCTCGGTATTGTCCCGCGTAATTCAGCCAAAGGGGGGCAACGTCCGAACACCGGTATGCGTTGTCCTCTACAAACCTAGGAGGGAAATATTCTCCCAGAGCCAAGTTCAGTCAAATTTCGCCTACGGGCATTTGGTCAATTTGAAACGATACAGGGAAGATTAGCATGGCCCCTGCACTAAGGATGACACGCTCAATCAAAGAGAAGCTACCAATTTTATTAGGGCTTGTCCCTCAATATCTACAAGAACAAATTTTTGCATATTTCAAAATTAAATTTTTCAAATGTAATTAGAATCTTTAGTTAGATTCACAAAGGCTTCCATACTCTTAGAATCAGTAGGGACTACAGTAAAAATCTAATCTAATCTAAAACCTAATCAGTCAAATTTCGCCATACCGAACAAGTTGGCCCACGGGGCAACGATTAAAGATTCTCCACCTAATCAATTTCTCCCACCCAATGAGATCGATCCCCACTAACACCTCATAAAGCTTAAAGGCAAGATTTAGTATATATTTCCTTCAATGACCACACCAATCTTAGACCTCCTTTGGCCTCAGTTAACCACCAAATATACGCCTACGCCGAAATTTACAACCGACGGAGGAAACGAAGCGTGGCGTAAAAATCTGGGAGACAGTTTTTTGGTATGGACAGGAGAGTTATTAGGATAAGTTCACAAGACGATACGAAGGATAGATGCAATCTCGAAGGGCGTGAAATTTCGAAGTTTGCCAAGGAGTTTTTACAAATTGATCTTTATGCGTGCCAAGACTTCGGTTGCGAGAGTGCAGGCGACACTATAAACATCGCCATGGTTGGATGGTGCGGTGGTATATCGTCTTGGCCGGTCTACCAAGTAGAGTCTGGATAGCTTAGACACATATCCCACTTGAGACAGTAGATCGCTGGTTCAAATCCGGCAAAACACAACCACGTTTCTCGCGGCGCTGGTATGCATGGATGACTAAGGCACGCTTGAATAACCAAAGGTTTTGAAACGTCCCTTTGGTGGGTACTTACGGAGGAGGGTCAATAGTTTGTGTAAGCAAGCATACCTCATAGTGGTATTTGCGAATGAAATCCAGAGTATGAGTGTCTCTAACGTCAAAAGAGTCATCCAACATGTATACATAGCACCGGTCATGTGTCATAGCTAGATAGCTGAATACACATTAGATGACTAAAAAAAGACTGGGGGGTCATATTTCCATAATAAATACACCTATAACCGTCTGTTTGTTGTTAGGTGCGCAGTAGCTGAGGCCCAAACAGCTTGAGCAAAAAACGTCTGAATCATTTTTGATTGAGTCATCCCATCGAGGCTGATTTAATATTCACTTAAATGAAGAGGTATTTCTGGTTGCGTTGTTCCACAATATTAGAGCGACGGCTACTGTAGATTTTCTTTGGGGCGAATTAACAAATATATTATATTAAGTATATACATCGCAACTACCCCTATCCACTGACACTTCTCCCAAAGGAAATCCTCGCCAGAATAGTTTTCCATCTCAGCTCTGACCACCTTTCCTTCTATGACTAATTCATGACTAGCCCAAAGCTCCTTCCTGATCAGTTTCAGGGTTAAGTTTACTCCAAGCAGATTAGGGTACTGTATGTGAGAGTATTCCTACAGGTTGTTTCGCACCAGTGAAACGTTTTAACTCGCTCAGTGTCCAAGCATGCAGCATGGAAAATTAATATACAGTCTCCTTTCGTCCATCTCAGCACAAAATTATAAAATTTATATTTACAATATTGATAGTTTCCTAATCACTTATCTTTCAGCTTTACCGTGCGTGCTTAGTTTTTCGGGCAGTTAGCCTTAATTGCGCAGGTGTACTCGACTTGATTAGATGGCGAGTATCGACCATTTTATTATTTATTCATTTCTCTAGTGTAACGTCCCATGCGGTATCTATATACAGAACCATGAAGACGATAAGCTATGTTGAGGAAAAAAGCTTTTGAGCAACAAAACCCGCTGTCATACCACTTTGAACCGACTGGCTCAATACTGAGGACGTTCCTTTCAACCGTTATTTCAGAAACTTTCCCCGAATTTCATAAATACACCCTTTAATTAGACTATTGTTAGGAGAAATTGAAAAGAAAAGGCACCAACTCACTCGGCGTTGGTGGAAGAAGTGTCCGAAGAGTCGACCCCGATAGTGGTGCTGCATCGGCTTCGACTACCTTACGCGGTCGTCCCGGCCCTCTCATGAGTCCTTCAGTATTCTTACTGGTGACCAAAGTAAATCCCTGATCATTCGTCCGAACTGTTTGTTTTGGTTCCGCTGGGGGTTTCTCATTCTATATTTCCGCCGTTCTTGACAGAAGCTCATCCGAGCCTTTTCCACACTTCCCTTGTAGACTTGGTAATTCCGCCACTCTGCTTTCTGCCACGAACGATGCTCCTTGTCGCAGTTTGGACAAGAAATTCTTTTCCTCGGATAGATCCGGGTTTGGTGAGCACCAGCGCGCTCACCGAACCTAGCTGCCTTTCCACACGACGCCTGTGTGTCCCCACTGGCTGCACTTGAAGCACTACTTTAGCTGGACCCGTGGTGACTACACCTGAGCGGTGAATAGCATGGCGTTAATTACAAGGCCATGTCGACCCACTTTCGTTTGCATTGCCTCCGATGGGTAGCTGACCACAATTGATCCACTAGTGTGGCCATTTTTCTTTGACCGCTGGTGTTCCTTTCCGTCATGTAACCATCCTATGCAATTGATTGAGAGGCCGGGAATCCGAGCCCGTCTCTGTCTTAACCTCTCTGATTATGACGTAGTTTTCGGCATCTCTGCCGCCTTCAATTCTTGTCCGCAGTGGGACTCCAGAAACCTCAACTGGAAATTTTTGCCGAAAACTTTCGAAGTCGCTTGGTTACCATACTAATATTAATTCATTTTATTGTCTTGTCTAAGTCTATGACTATGTAGGACATGCAGGTCCTTTCTGCCTACAGGCCAAGGATACCTATACCAGTAGTATATCCCTCCTATGCCTCCCATACAGCTCCCCTCAAACAGTACCACCCCTCACAAGTCCTCATTCGATCATACACTAAAAGGAGCCCCTTGCCCTTCATTATCTCCCCTCTCCAGCCAACGAAACGATGGCCATTTGCGGGTGTATGGCAGCCGAGAAAAATCGCAGAAAACCACTGGGTGCGGAGCTCTCCTAATACCGACATTAGGACTAGATCCGAAGACATAGTGATCCTTCTGAAGCGTTCGAAAATGCCGGCCAGCTTGGCGCTGCAGACTTGTGGGTACCTCGGGAAATTCACCATCCGCCTTTCTAGCCTCCTTCCCGAAAGTCGTGCTGAAATGTCAGAATAGTCTTGATAGAGCGTGATTGCTGTATGGTAGCTTGTCCCAACTTCTTCTGTGCCTTCCAGGGCGCTGGGGAGTGCCATTGACTCATCGACAAAAGAAGCCTTCCTGGCAAATTAGCCGAAATCTTAGTCTTGGCGTCCACAAAGAATCCAAAGTTGAAAGCCTCTCGAAAATATCAGATCCAGCATGGTCTTCAAAGACCTGTTCCCCCTCTCGTTCCACATCTCAGCCGCCTGTCCTTCCTCAAGATGTACAACCCCATCAAAGCATCAGTCCCCCACAAACCAAGACCCCAACTTTGTATTTTTCGACTTAATTTCCTCCTTGCGGGTATACGTAGCGTCGTAAATTTGTAGTGAGTGATGGCCCGTAATGAATGAGGCAAGCTCCTGTTTGCAATTGGGGTGACGCCTTTATCGGTCGTTTAGGCGAGATTATTTGTGGTTAGATAGAGGATGAGGACTCAGATGAGAATGGTGAGTGCTGCATGATTGAGAAGTCGTCAAATGGAGATGTGCTTGAGGTTGCTTTTGACTTCGATTCGGATGCGATTCTTCTTGGCTATCCCAGATATGCATGGCATACTGAGCGATGACACCGGCACCACTGGAAAGTGAAGAATTCGTCTTTACCTACAGTATCGGCCATGAAAGATGAGGGCGCAATAATTATATAAAAACCCTGGTGAAATACTGGTTAAAGATGCGCAGTGTGTGAGGGCAGAGATTCCACTTGAGCATTTCCACCTAACCAGAGTAAGGATCGGCAGAGACTGCGTGAGATTGATAAGACATTACGAGCGCTCTAAAGTGGAAAGGGAATTGTGGAGCATTCAGAAGCGCATGAATAAAAAGCGGCGAAAATGCCTCAGAACCACACGAGGGCATCCATGTCAATGACAAAGAGTAAATCCAAGGTAGAGCTCTGATGGCAGGATACAAGGCCCGATTCAACTAAGACCCAATTGTTTTCCAGAGCCCCTGCTAATCTGAAGACCAAGTGAGGGGCAACTTTCAACTAGAATGTGTTAGATGAAATATAAGAAAAGTAGTATGACTGCTATATTGAACAACTGCATTGGATAGAAATTTCTTTGCACCTGGAATGGAGGCTTGAATCCCTGGGGCATACTACCAACGTCTTGGGCCTTCTCGGTGACATATAAATGCCATGACAAATTAGCGATCCACCAGAACATAATTATAACATACACACTGAATTTTTTAATAAATGGCTCCACCCACTTTCCGGGTTGTTTAAGAGGAGCTTGAGATTTAGTTGTGGTACTCAGAGTAGAATTAGCATAGATATGGGCTGCTACCACCAGATGGATTAATTTCAAAATTATCGAGTCGGCCCGCTGAGTGTGATTAAGTAGCTCCACTATATTTTAAAGCCCCTACGGTGCTATCCCCTTGAGTGACAGGTTGCAAGAGAAGAACGACTGGCTGGGTCGTGCTGCGTTATGACATTTGGACCCATCTCCTAGTAGATCCGGGGTAATCTGGCCATTAACCGGATTTTAGGCGGGAGATCGTCAGTCTAGGATACAGCAAGGCCTTGTGTGTCCAGTTCACGGGACAAAGGGATGATAACATTAGTGTGGTATATATTATGTAATCATAGGTTAGCGTGTTTGCAGTCTTATGGAGTTTCTGGTTAGCATTGAATGAACAACGAACTTACACTAGACTTAACGAACTCTACAGGCATTCTGCAATCCAAGATTACAGGCGTGCTTTGAGTTCATAGTCTACAGTAAGACATTCGTAACCCACATACGTGAACGCACAGCCTGAACACAGTCGTGCAGCTATAATCAAACTGACGATGCTGGCATTTTGAAGATCCCAACCAAGCTTTGGGCCATTTCATTCCTTGGGCCGTTAATAGAACGCGATGCAGAAAATCTCCAATACTAGGCCCAAGAAGTGCTGCGATTAATTGTGATATAATAGAAAGTGGTCTTTGATGTAACATTTATTTGCCTTGGAAAGAATAAAGATGGATAAAACATATGCCCACATCCAGCTTGAGCGGAGCTAAGAGGCCATCATTTTTGGTCGGGTTGAGACTAATAAACATATCAAGTCAATAAATTGGCTCGTTTATGACGCCTTCAACGGCGATGGGGGGGTCTACTTTCAGCACCTGTCAGTGGTGTCCCCTACGAATCTCCAACTCTCACTGTAAAGTCTGCAGAACCGAGATTGAGTAACAAAGTACTCACTTCAACGGGGATTCCCAATCGTTTTCGCGGTCTGAATCGTCTTCATTCCTCAATACATTTCCCTATCACTACTATCATGAAGCTAACCACGATTAGATCAGATGGTAGGGTCGGAGCCCTACTCATCACCAACCCTTGATCATGGAGGAAATTTCGTCCGATGAGTTTCCGGAGCGTACCCAGCACCCGATACGGAGATGGCGGGTTGGATCAAGTCGGCCTCGAATGGTACAAAGAAGGGAGAAATAGATAAATATGCGCACCTCATGTGGTCCCGGTGTCTAGGCCTCGCCTGGCTGGGGCTGCAGGTTTTTTGAGACTTTTTCCCGCGCACGCAGTTTCCATTGCTACCATTTATTTTTTGGGGTAGAAGGTTCCGTGGAAAAGGTGGCCGACTTCCACGGGTAAATACTGAGCCGAATAGCAATTCATCAAGGGGAATATATCAATGATCTGACACGTAACAAAAGAGTATAGGAGCATTCAAAAAGGTATAGCCGGGATCAGAGATTAGACTATTTTGCTAGATAGCCCTTGACTCATGCCGCACAATAAACGCGTATGGTCTCCCTCATTGTCTATGAGAGTAAAGTTGAAAACTATCCAATTGGGATTTGAAATGTAACTAGTATCTCACATAAATCCTAGGAGTCCTTCATAGTCATCGACTCAGTTAGGACTATACTAAATATCTAATCTAATCTAACACGAACACACATAACGGCGATACGTCCTATCGTCTTACCGACATCCCGTCTCAACGGCCCACAAGATCGACCCAGGACCCTTGGGCATTTAAGTACTGTTGGAATTGCCAAGGCCAACATGCTACGCCTGGTTCCAGCCGGAACACTCGACTTACAAGGATAAGCTATTTGCGACCTATTTTGGTAGGGACGAGATGCGCCTTTACACAATTTCAGAAAATCATCCCATATCGGCCCATCTAGCTCCAACATCAAACGGCATCATTTCACACTTTCAATACTGTGGATCCTGATTTAAGACATGCATCCACTTTAATTTTACTCTTCGCAACCCCCAAAACTGTAGTGACATGGCGATTCTCTTAGCTGATAGTTGCACTCATCAGAACTCTTGGAATCAACACACCATAATTTCGGCCCGATCAATCAACTGTATGAATAGACTGCCGCAGATATTTCTAGGAATTTCCAAAAATGTCAGCTTGTATTCACGAAAAAGAGCAGATATCACATACAGAAGACGTAGTTGGCTCACCAAAAGTCCCAACTTGTTGGTCTTCTGAAGAGGAAGATATATTACTCGGGAATGACCATAAACAGCGTGAGACAACCAACAGAAAGGATTCTGACGCTCAAGACCAAGACGAAAAAGATCCAAAATACAGAAGTTTATCGCTATCGTCGGTTGCAATACAAAGAGAGCATTCTCAGCGTCTCGATGATGATTTGGAGATGCTGCGAGTAGAAAGAGTTGTTTCCCGTAGTGAAACTAACGAGGATATGATGGGTCGGCCCAAGATGAATGATTACCGTTCTCGAATAGACGGAGAACCAGTCGACAATTTTGACACTGACACATCACCTATGCATGAAAAAACAAAATTTTATCGAATGCCAGCTGATCCCACAACTTATCTTGCAAAGCTATTCAAGAAAATACACCAGTCCAGCGTCCTGGTACGATGGATCGTTTACATTATGCCTGTTGCTCTCCTGCTCTCTATACCACTTATTCTCGGCCTTCTAGTTCTAAAAGAAGCGACGGTTGGTGATGTAGAAGTTTTTTGGTTTGGGGTCTGGCTTGAAATTGTGTGGCTAAATTTATGGCTTTCAAGAGTAAGTGATTCAGATAAGTACAATATCAAATATTATTCTGATATAGTAGCTTATTGCCAAAATTATTCCCTGGCCAATGGGTCTAGTATCCAGTCTTTTTACAAACAACAGTAAAAAGTGGACGGACCTTGGTGAAGCCTTAGAAATTCCAGCAACAATATTTTTGTGGGCTCTTTCAATTGAGATATCTTTCCTAAGAACTATGAAAAACCATCATCTACATGGAAACCAGGAAGCGAGGAGCTGGGAGAAAACAACAAATAAAATTATCGTTGGAGTACTAATAGGAGCAACCCTAAATTTTGCCGAAAAGATTCTCATACAGCTCATTGCTATGAGTTTTCATTTGCGAACATACGCAGATCGTATCGAAATTAACAAATTTCAAATCTCTAGTTTAGTAAAGCTGTATATCTTTTCGAAGAAAAAAATTGCGATGAAAGACTCTGACTTCGAGTTAAGCTCTTCATCTAGCATTAAGACGCCCATGGGCTATGTTAACCTTGCGGGAAAAAATGCCCGTCATGTTTTCACAAAAGTTGGAGATGTAGCTGGGAAATTTGCTGGAGATTTTACTGGTCAGACTGTGAAGACTAGCTCTCATCCACAACAAGTGTTTGTCTTATAACTATTATACGAATCTTGGCTGATTTTTAAAGGGTTATTCAGCTTCTACGCTCAACAGTAGGCTCTCAGGTCTTGGCTCGTCGACTTTATCGTACATTTGCTCAAGAGAACTCAAAGACCATTCTACCTAATGACTTGAGATTAGCATTCGACAATGACGAAGAAGCAACTGCCGCATTTAATATGTTTGATAAAGATCTAAACGGAGATATTTCTATCGAAGAGCTAGAAGCAGTCTGTGTCGAAATTAGTCGTGAGCGGAAAGGAATTACCGCATCCCTTAAGGACCTCGATTCAGTTGTTTCAAAACTGGATCAAGTTCTCTTATTTATTGTTTTTGTGATAACCACTCTTGTATTCCTCTCATTCATATCTAGTTCTGCGTCAGTTATGCTCACATCAGCTGGCTCCACAATATTAGCACTTTCCTGGCTCCTGCAAGCGACGGCTCAAGAATTTCTTCAGTCTCTAATTTTCGTATTCGTGAAACATCCATTTGACGTGGGAGATAGAGTCACCATTTACGGTAATACAGGGAAATCGTTGACAGGTGATGACTACTTCGTGAAGGAGATATCATTACTTTACACCGAATTCAAGAAGATGGAAGGTCATGTCGTCCAGGCCCCAAACAGTTATCTTAATACCATCTTTATCTTGAACCAACGTCGGTCTGGTGGTCTAGCTGAAGCTATTCCTATCACAGTCAAATTTGGGACGACACTTGAGCAGATTGAATCTCTTCGCGAACGGATGTTAGAATTCGTAGCTTCCGAGAGCCGTGAATATCAAAAAAATATCCTCACCGAGTTAACGACCATTTATGAAGCTTATTCTATCACCCTCAACGTTGTTTTTTTCTACAAATCGAACTGGCAAAACGAGCTGCTGCGCTTACAACGTCGAAATAAGTTTATTTGCGCCTTAATGGTGACGATGAACGAATTGAATATAGAAGGTCCAAGAATGCGTCTTGCGGGTGCTGCAGAAGAATTTCCTCTTTATCTTAACAATGCTTATTCAAAAAGTCATGATGCATCACAGAATCCTCACCCTGGAGTCTTGGAAGATAGAGCGCGGGCAATTAACACTACTGAACAAGTTAAAATTCGTAATCCGTCAATTTTGCGTGGAAGGGGTGATGTGAACAATTGTAGACGTACTGAATCTGTTTTATCAGTAGGAAAACGTGTTGACTTTTCTCTCGGAATGTCTTCTATCAGCTCTGGTGCTGACCTTGGTGATGTCTATGGTGACCGGGAGCCAGTTCAATTGCCTCCACTAATGTCTTCGTGCTCTGAAAATGCTGCAAATATGTCGAGGACAAAAAGTAGAGATTCTGGAAGTACCACCAAAAAATATCGAAATCGCCTATTTTCGCGCAGAAAGTCTCGGGCTGCTGACGACAACAGTTTTCTTGATGACCTTGAGGTTGGACCTGCAGATGTTATCATGCCTGGTATTGCCGAGGGTGGATCAGAGGGGGTGACGCCGACGTACAATACTACCAGTCCTCTACACCCAATTTAGTGCATAATTATTCCAACAAAAATGCTAGAGTGAGAAGATCTCCCATGGATGAGCCAAATTTTTATTTTTTGGCTTGTAAGTAAGGTTAGTAAAACTTATGACCAACTTTTAAAAAGTGATGGCGATCTCATGGACTAGAATATGATTAGTTGCTAGTTTGCTCGAATATCCCTAGCAGAGCCTTGTTTCACAAGATCAAATGTCTACAGGTATTAACTAGCCAAGATTGAAGCGATTATTCAGTATAGGAGCTCTCAGTAGTCTCTCAAACAATATTGAGTATATACGATCTGTGACAGAAATATCTATTATTTTAACCTAGGGGAAGAAAGAACCAATGCCTATTAGCGGTGTAGCCTACGAATCTTTATCTTTCATCTGAAGGTCTATAGAGCCAAGATTGGGCATACATCTCTCTAACTATTAGTAAAGGAGTTTCCTCTTCCTTTAAATATAAGCCTCCGATAATCTCTACCACGAAAACTAAGGTGACAGCAACTCTGAGCATTGTTATAATGAAGAAGGTAACATGGCTGCATTACAATAAACTGGTCACAATGTAATAATGTGCACAGGCGCCATAAGATATGATTGATCTAGATCATCACTTATTGGTATGACAAAGTATTTCACTACAGATTCCTAGGGATATATTTTGGCACAAAGATCTCTATCATCCTTCCTTACTTGGTTAGAAGAGGAGATATATTGAAACATCTAATAGTGTGCAGAAACCCGTTTATTCGTGTATATAGAGAAACATCCTGCCACATGAATAATACAAGCAATTCATAGTGTTGGTATGATAAAGGTCATACACTAAAAATCTATTAGTTCACTTCAAGTTATAAGAGTACTTGTGTAAGTATTTCGAACTATTGTTCAGAAGAAATGCGTATTCATTATTCATTCGTGTTCTTCTTAATTGATGCTTTGGATTGCTATCTAGACTACATTCGGATAATTCTTTATCCGAATGTCAGAATCCACACATCAAGAGAACTAGCCAATGCAATGCAACAACCACCGACTCCAAATAACTCCAACTAGATAAATCATTCCGACATAAATGATAGGAAATTTTAATAATCTCTTAACTTTTAGCACACTTGAGAGTACTTGGGAATTATCGGTATGTAAACTCATTTCACAGATATTTGAATTTATAATACATGGGCGTGGTAATATCATACATTGTCGTGGGGCGCTAGCGGAGCCTCTTTTTGTAGTTTAGAACCTGGACCTCACGAAGGAGGAGGATAGGCAGCAATATAACACTTACTTTAGCACCTTTGAGGCATTAAACCAAGTGAAGCCCGTTGTGCCAACAGGAATATCCACAAAGTCGTTCATTTATCAAAGTCCTAAGAGTACAACTCACGAACTAAACTTCTTTTAAAGCTAAAGCTACCTTCCATACCTTTATCCTAACGGTACATTATTCCAGCTCAGCATAGCCTCTCAGTAATAATGGAGTGATTTTTATAAAACGAGCGCTGTAACTATAATCGAGGAAGCTCTTGTTATATCCTAATAAATTTTGTTAAGAATTAATCAAGCACCAACTCTAAGCCTGATGATAGCACCTCAAACAAAGAACAAGCTGACTTAACTTATGAATACAAATTAATGACAAAATTTAATTAAGAAATATTGGGTCAAAGTAGATTGGTATAATTAGCGGAGAAGGTAAGAACATCGTGCATGTAGTCGGAAGCATCATCATACGAAAGAGGAATCAAGTGTGCCATATACGTTGTATCTTAGTTTTAGAGCGACGGCTACTGTAGTTGTTGATTTGATTTGAATGCTATTCGTATCAGGCATAAGTCCCACATTCAATAGGCATGATACGGGTATGTGATCTATACAGACTCATTACTACCGACGTGCATGGCTTTGCCAGAGAAACGATAAGTAATAAGCATAAGAAAGCAATGCAATGTGTCCAAACAAAGGCGCCATGTCCTATTCTTCCCAGCAGTTGACTACTAAAATAACCACTGATAACCCTAGGAGAGCTCATAACTCTCCATCTACGGCCATTTCCCTGGTAACATCTCGTTATAGTTGCGAATTCGATAAATTTCTCACAACTTTTTCCCCCCAGCATCTCAATTGCCCTCGAGGGAGGTTCCCGTTTCATGCTTCTCTACCGTTCTAGGGCTGCTCGGCATTCTGCAAAGTGCTAAGGGCGTCTTTCTCGACTGCACCCACATTTGGCTTCGAAATCTTCATGCTTGAATCTTTCATGGTGCTTGGCAAAATCGCCCCGTCCAGTCCAAGCTGCAATCAGCCTGTGGCTGGCCCATCTCGGTAAAGCAAGTTCTGGAGGTCGCTTCCGAGTCATAATAAGATCAATTCCGTTTATTGCTTGGGCGCATTTTCCTGCCACCATGCTACTACTAGTTCCTCCGCGCGCTCCCCGACAATTCTATTCAGTGATGCAGACGTAGATTTTATTCTGCGGGGCATCTCCATGGTAACCTCATATGGGGCCTATATTGTTATGCTCAGCTATGTAGTAATGTGTGCAGTATGAGAGATGGGTTGTTAATTTAGGATATATGACATGGCTGCTTGGTTGGGAGCAAACTTTGGTGAGCTGCATACTGGTAACGTGATCGGTCTACAAGCGAACAAGTTATGGGATATGGGACGAGCTTCCCCCAATCTGTAACATAACAACTACCATAGTAACTTCACTTCTGCACATTAATGAAGACATCTCTCCACATAATATCTTAGCTGTTCCAGCGCAAGTGTACATTCCCAAATCATATACCAATCATAATATTTACTAGGGCGGCTTTGGCAAGCTTGTCTGCTATCTCATTTCACTCGATCCCTGAGTGCCCTGGTATCCACCGAATTTCCACTGACTGATGTTTTTGACAGTCCTTGACAAATTCTTCGAATATTCCCCGGAACGATTTAGACCTGCCACTACGCAAGGCCTGGACAGATTGTAAGCTGTCAAAGAGTACCTTGATTGAGTCCCTTTCAGCCACCAGTAGTGCTACTTCGAGGGCTTTCTGGGCTCCCAAGAGCTCCGCGTCACAAGCCTCCGCACCGAGCAAAAGGTCTGCGCCGCTCCAGATCATTTGTCAACATCTGAATAGAGTATAGTCCCATGTAGATTTTGCCATCCCGCAAGATGAGCCGTCTGGGTACGCACATATAGTGTCGGCTGGCAAGTGCTCTATCCATTGTTTGGGTAGAGTGGCTTTAGACTCCTTATCTAGTATCGCTAATTGGTAGCTGCGGTCCGCTTTTGGATAGAAAAGTCTTCCGGAATCCACAGCAAATAGTACGTTCTAAATGCTGGTCTGCAAACGTGTCAGGCAACGCTCTGGATTTATGAACGATCAGTTCCTCTGTCCTGTGCGGTTTATGGTTTCCTTTGGACCCTCTTGGGATCTGGCCACCAGAGAATGACACGTTTACCTTCGTTGAATTCGCGCCGCAGCTCTTAATTGCATTTGCTGAAGGATGAATGCTGCCGGAGGGATACTAGACTCTCTGTGGAGAACCTTGTTTGGGGTAGTTCGCCATGCCTGTAGTGCTGCCCGGATTGCCTTGATAATTGTTACGGTTTGACCGTTATTTAAGCTTAAGAGGAAACCTAAGTGTTTAATTGGGAATAATTACGATGAGACTGAAAGAGGAAGGATGCACAAATATATATGAAATGGCATTATTACCCAGGAGGTCGAAGCAACATCATAGCGTAATGGCCACTGATAATACTTGGCTCGGTAGCAAGTATTAAGCCTAGGGGAAAGTTATCAGTTAGCAGATTCACGAAGCGGACCAAATGTTATTGTTAAAGATTTAATCTGTCCATAACACTGAGCTTGATGATGGCCAGCAAGACGAAGAATATCATGACCTGTCATTTAAGATAAAAGGGCGAATAGGGCGTTAATTAGAAGATAGGACCAATATTGTAAGGGGTGATTAGCTCAGAGTAGGTATGGGCATTGTGAATGTAGTCGGAAGCATCATCATATTAAAGAGGAATCAAGTGCGCGATATATATATATATATACACAAGCCCTATCCCTGTCACTAATTGCAAAACCCCGCACTGCCATAAACACCATCAATCTCTGTTATCCATCGCAATCCTGAATATCAATATGAGTTACTATTATACAGTATGTTTGTACGGGTTGACATCAAGATAGAAATTTTAACAGTTATAAGTACATGTTAGAATAGAATAGAGTTCAATTTAAGTCCCCAATGAGTCTATGACTATGAAGGACTGCCAAAGATATCCAAATAACTTTAAAATTTAATAGTCTTTTTGACAATTGATTTGCTTGATATTTACCAATAGATTATGAGGGTCTTGCCCAAAGTAAGTACCTGTTAGTGGTAGCTGGAGATTTCTTTCCTCTTCATATAGTTTAATAAATCGATTTACTCATCACCAACTCGGTTTCCGTCACAATAATTGTGCTATCCAGGAAATCAGTATGCCAGCCGATTCCCGTCTTCACTGTCTTGCTCCGATGAGTGGTGACCCGAGTCAACCCTGGCCACAATGCTTCGGCTCCATACATCGCTATATTTATGATGCTTGCCTGCACTGCCTTAATCATTGGTTGCGGGCCTACGCCCCGTTTAACGCTGTTGATTCGCCGTATGAACTGCGTTGGTCTTTGAGATTTCCCACACCACACTTGCACATGCTGCTTGAGGTTGAGTTGGGAGTCAATCTATACCCCAAGCCATTTGATATGCGAGGAAGGTGTTATCTTGTTGCTTTGGATCTAGACAGCTAAGCATGTCATGTCAACCTTTTTCTTCGGACCCCCTCCAATTATCAATAGGTCAGAATTTGTCGCGTCAAAACTTATTTCATGCTCGTTTGCAACACGCAAATGCTTCTCCACTTCAGCTTGAATATTTTCCACCACATCAGCTGCTGTGCTTCCAGTGGTGAGGATTGCAATGTCGTCTGCGAACACCAACTTGTGTGACGGCATTTG